TTTTTCCATTCAGCAATAATGTTACAATTACAACCCTTTATCAACTGTAAATGTGTGCTTGAGTATCATGCTATTCAATAAAACATTTTAAGCTACCTGCTATTTTTCTCAAAATAGCATTTTCTAAACATATAAACAATGTTAGAGAAGACTGTCTAGGTATTTTAGAAAATACTAAGTGTACTTGTCTTACTCGCAACAGATTATATTTTTTGTCTGACTTCACAAAGAATGTGCTTTGGCATTGAGAAGTCATTTTTACTGTGCATCCACACTTGTACAAATACAACTCTAGTTAAATATGATTATGAAAGGAATCTAACTGAGTCTATTGTCATAAAAGTAGCCATGCTGGTGATATATATCTGGGTGCTTGCAAGCAATGTTTGCTTGTAATTTAATTTTTTTTAAAGAAATATAAGACCAAAATTTAATTATGAATGATAAAAAATGTATGGAAAAGTGCAATTTTGTTTTGTTTTTAAAGTAGATTAAACATACATTTTTAATTAGTCGTAGAATATACTTTATACAAGACTCTTTGTTCATTGAATATGACACAGTCATTGACAATCCAAGTAGAAAGAAAGGTGATAAGGACAATAAAAAAAAAAAAAAAGAGGTGGTGTGAGAATAATAATGAAAAAGTACTGATGATTAACTTTTTAATAAGTAACTATATTATTAATAGAGTGACCTTTAAGCATTTGTGTGTTCAAGTAAAGTGTTTTTACTTTATATATTTATCATAAGGAAGATGTTGGTTATTCATAAGTATAATTTGTAAGAATAATTAACAAATTCAATAAATTGTAAGCATTATATTTAATAGAACCCACATCTAGAGTGCCACCTACTGGAATTATGTATTTCTGAAAACTTTTATTTATTAGTTCTGTACACTGAAGTTAACATTTGATATGGCGCTACACATTATGATGGATATTAAAGGAACACTATAGGGTCAGTAACACAAACATGTATTCCTGACCCTATAGTGTTAAAACCACCATCTAGCCCCCCTGGCCCCTCCATTGCCTCCCTAAACATAGTAAAAACTTACATATATCCAAGTCTGAAGATGCTGCTTCTGGCCCTGAACTGCCTCTGCTGACATAATCAGAAGAGGTGGTTTGAGTCAATCACAATGCTTCCCCATAGGATTGGCTGAGACTGGCCAATCAGCATCTCCGCATAGAGATGAATTGAATCAATGCATATCTATAAGGAAAGTTCAGTGTCTGCATGCTGAGGTGTAGACACTGAATGGCAGTGCTGCTTACTCTGCAGCACTGCCCAAGGAATCAGCTTTAGCAGCCATCGAAGGAGTGGCCAGTGGAGTTATCACTAGGCTGTAATGTAAACACTGCATTTTTTTCTGAAAAGGCAGTGTTTACAGCAAAAAAGCCTGAAGTGAATGATTCTACTCACCAGAACTCATGCAATAAGCTGTAGTTGTTCTGGTGACTGTAGCATCCCTTTAAATAAAATATATTTCCTTGGAATTGTGGTTATTTGTTCTTTGGCAAACAAAATGGCTAAAATAAAAGAAGAGGGATAAATTGCATTACAAAAATAGAACTTTTTTCGGTATGGATTTGGTTCACTGTTGAGCGAACCCAGACTGTAACGTTCGGATTCATACCAAACATTACATTTTGGACTCCGGACCCGAACACGGACATATTACTGTATGTTCGGGTTGGAGTTCGGTGTTCGGCGATTTAATGGCGCGTTTTGAAAGGCTGCAGGGCAGTCAATCAACAAGCGTTTGACTCGTGTGCCCTTAGAAGCCATAACAGCCATGCCTACTAATGGCATGGCTGTGATTGGCCAGTGCAGCATGTGACCCAGCCTTTATATATAAGCTGGAGTCATGCACTTCATATCTGAGAGTCAAATAGAAGCGTCAAATACTGCGGTTATATTGGAGTTTTAAAAAGTCAATTTTTTTGGTACTAAATAGTACATTAGTGGGGTGCACTTCATATTTGAGAGTCAAATAGAATCGTGTTATAGTGTGCTTACAGCGCAGTGGTAAACATTCTAATTGTTTTGCCACTAATCTGCTAAATAGTACATTTGCGGCCTGCGGTGCACTTCATATCTGAGAGTCAAATAGAAGCGTCTAATAGTGTGCTTACAGCGCAGTTGTAAAAATTCTATTTTTCTGGGTGCTAATCTGCTAAATAGTACATTTTGGGGCGTTCACTTAATATCTGAGAGTCAAATAGAAGCATCTAATAGTGTGCTTGCAGCACAGTGGTAAACATTCTAATTGTTTTGCTGCTAATCTGCTAAATAGTATATTTTGGGGCCTGCTTTTCATATCTGAGAGTCAAATAGAAGCGTCTAATAGTGTGCTTACAGCGCAGTTGTAAAAATTCTAATTTTCTGGGTGCTAATCTGCTAAATAGTACATTTTGGGGCGTGTACTTCATATCTGAGAGTCAAATAGAAGTGTCAAATAGTGCGCTTTCTGCGCAGTTGTAAACATTTTAATTGTTTTGCTGCTAATCTGCTAAATAGTACATTTGCGGACTGCGGTGCACTTCATATCTTAGAGTCAAATAGAAGCGTCTAATAGTGTGCTTACTGCGCACTTGTAAAAATTCAATTTTTCTGGGTGCTAATCTACTAAATAGTACATTTTGGGGTGTGCACTTCATATCTGAGAGTCAAATAGAAGCGTCTAATAGTGTACTTACAGCACAGTGGTAAACATTCTAATTGTTTTGCTGCTAATCTGCTAAATAGTACGTATTGGGGCCTGCTCTTCATATTTGAGAGTCAAATAGAAGCGTCTAATCATGTGCTTACAGCGCTGTGGTAAACATTCTAATTGTTTTGCTGATAATCTGCAAAATAGCACATTTTGGGGCCTGCTCTTCATATCTGAAAGTCAATTAGAAGCGTCTAATAGTGTGCTTACAGCGCAGTGGTAAACATTCTAATTGTTTTGCTGCTAATCTGCTAAATAGTACATTTGCGGACTGCGATGCACTTTATATCTGAGAGTCAAATAGAAGCATCTAATAGTGTGCTTACAGCGCTGTGGTAAACATTCGAATTGTTTTGGTGATAATCTGCAAAATAGCACATTTTGGGGCCTGCTCTTCATATCTGAAAGTCAAATAGAAGCGTCTAATAGTGTGCTTAAAGCGCAGTTGTAAACATTCTAATTGCTTTGCTGCTAATCTGCTAAAGAGTACATTTGCAGCCTGCAGTGCAGTTCATATCTGAGAGTCAAATAGAAGCGTCAAATAGTGCGCTTACTGCGCAGTTGTAAACATTCTAATTGTTTTGCTGCTAATCTGCTGCTTACATTGGAGTTTTCAAAAGTCAATTTTTTTTTGGTGCTAAATAGTATATTTGGGGTGTGCACTTCATATCTGAGAGTCAAATCGAAGCTGTGACGAAGTGCCCTTCGCCACTTGTGCCTGGAGGGGACTACTGTCTAGCCTCCTGCCTTCCGACTATGGCCCATGTGCTGATAGCTGTATTTTCCCCTGCAGAAAGGTTTATTTGTGTATTTCTGCCAGGGCATTCTGGACTTACTATTCGTGTAACAAAAGACTATGAAAAAGACTTTGGCTCCATGGCGATTGAACTGTATGTATGTGACCCAGGGTATGATCACTAAGCTCTGCTAAGAGCTTGTTCCTGTTCCTGCTCTCTTGGGAAAGAGAGGTTCACCCACTGGAAGCTGGATCCTGGCCTTGGGTCCAGGGTGGGTGGAGACAGCGAGACCCCGGCACAGCTGCATCGCTGGAAGTGGGGTCTGCAGTGCTGATGGTGTCGGTTGGAGTGCTTGGAGTCCTCAGCGAGCACTAGGAGCATCGATTGGCGGAGGTACTCAGTCAGAGTGCCAGCGGTCCGTCACAGAAGCGTAACTTTGATTCGAATTTACTACATCGGTCACAAACAGATTGATATTTTCTACACTAGAAACTAGCAGATAACAAGCTGCCATATTTAAACCAGTTATCAATAGCTAAGAGGTACTTAAACAATATTGTAATTCTGGGGCAATACCCTTACAAGTCAAACTGAGAGGTCAGTTTATAGGGAAAACTGTTGCCTGGATACAATTCTAAAACAATTTCCATATGTCCTTTGCAGACTTTACATGCTGGAAAAACACAGGTGCCAACTGTGGCTTTCTGCAGTGTGCATACCGGCAAAGAGGGCAGGATTGAGGAGTGGTTGGAAGATGATGTGGAGGATGATGAGGTCCTAGACCCCACATGGAATCAAGGTCATGCGAGTGACGTGTGCAGTTTGGAGGAAGAGGCGTTGGTCGCACAGAGGCACCAGCACAGCATAAGAGGGAGCAGGGTGCAAAAGCGGAGCGGCCGTCCCCTAGCGCTTGTCGGCATGTATTATCTTTAGAATTCCCACAGTTATCCAAGTAACAGATGGAGTTATAAAAGGAACCATAACAGATTTAACAAGCCATTTGCAGTTTTACAGTCAGGAGGGCAGTCCGGTGACCAGGACCCAGACACTGTCTGGGCGGCGATCAGACTACCGGTACCCAGTATGCCTGATGTTGAAGTTAGGAGTCACAGTGTGGAATGGATTAGCAGGGTCTGGTGCAGGGTAACCGCACGCCCCCTGGTGTAGAGCACCAGCGTTTGTGCGGCCACATACCAGGATCCTGATGCAGCTTCAGTAAAAAGAGTACTGGATACCAGAAGCCATCACCAGAGTGATCCACAACTTGGAACAGGATGTGACATTCACTGTAGCGGCTGTGCATGCTTTTGGCATTCTCACCCTGCTGCTGCTCGCCTGTCTGTGCTGCAGCGTAACTTCTGCCTTCCCGCTCACCGCCTTATGAGACTGTTTGAGCAGCAGCAGGCGATAGTTGAGTTTCAGCTGCTGCACGCATGGGTCAGTGGCTCTGCACCAGACTTCCCTCCAATTGATCAGAGTTAAAGGATTTCAAGTGGACTCATTACAATTACAGGGCTTCTAAAGAGTCCTGTATTGTTATTTGTCGTCACTACCTTCCCGCGTCAGGAGTGGGTCATTTGCGTGCCTGCTGCCTTCCTTGCATGTGGTAGCCATTTCTCAGGGTCCCTGTATGGAATGGAACCCTGATTCCCCGTTACCCGTGGTCACTATGGTAGGTGCAGAAACTGGCACCGAAAGTTCATATGGATGACATCCGAATTCAAAGTCGCCGTCGTGGGGATGTGCGATTGGCCCGAGGTTCTCTAGAGTCAACAAAGTGCCTGCGCAGCTATAATGTCAACAGCTACTCTGTGGAACAGAGTTGTCTTTTTTTATATGTCCCAATATTTTGGGGGCTACCCCAATAAAAAAATATATATATTTAAAAAATTTTGCTACCTCCTCCTCTTCCACCGCCGCTTTTACCTACACCGCCATGGTCACGCCTCCTCAACCTATAGGTCACTTAGTATAAACTATGTACACAATAGCAGAGGCTTGTGAAGGCCTTTTCTCCATGCATCAGGAGTTGAGCATTTCTCCATGCATCAGGACTCCAAGAAATGCACCGGAGGCCGCAAATGTTTCTTTTTTGGTATGTCCCAATATTTTGGGGGCTACCCCAATTAAAATAATAAATAAATATATATATATATATATATATATATATATATAAACAGTGTTGGCTACCTCATCCTCCTTCTCCACCGCTGCTTCCACCTACACTGCCACGGTCACTGACTCCTCAACCTATGGGTCACTTAGTATAAACTATGTACACAATAGCAGAGGCTTGTGAAGGCCTTTTCTCCATGCATCAGGAGTTGAGCATTTCTCCATGCATCAGGACTACAAGAAATGCACCGCAGGCTGCAAATTGTTTCTTTTTTATTTGTCTCGATATTTTGGGGGCTACCCCAATTAAAAAAAAAAAAAAACCCAAACAAATAAACAATGTTGGCTACCACCTCCTCCTTCTACACCGCCACGGTGACCGCCTCCTCAACCTATGGGTCACTTAGTATAAACTATGTACACAATAGCAGAGGCTTGTGAAGGCCTTTTCTCCATGCATCAGGAGTTGAGCATTTCTCCATGCATCAGAACTGCAAGAAATGCACCGCAGGCCGCAAATGTTTTTTTTTTTGTATGTCCCAATATTTTGGTGGCTACCCCAATTAAAATAAAAAATAGATATATATAAACAGTGTTGGCTACCTCTTCCTTCTCCTCCACCGCCGCTTCCACCTACACCGCCACAGTCACCGCCTGCTCAACTTAGTATAAACTATGTACACAATAGCAGAGACTTGTGAAGGCCTTTTCTCCATGCATCAGGAGTTGAGCTCAGTTTGAACAATGAAAGATAATACCCTGCACTCAAATGGCCTCCTGACAGCCATGCTTTAGATTTTGATTTATGTTCTTCCAGAGCTAAAATCAAAGATTCCATCTAGTGCTATTTTATGGCTCAGCTGTATTTTTAATTTTTATGTTATTTTAAGTGATTTCCCTATCCACATTTGTTTGCAGGGTACTTGTCCTACTCTTACCCCAATTTTACTTCCTTTTGCAGCTCTCTAGCCCTTTCCAGGAGTTTTTTAGAGGCATTTTTTTCCCAAAAGTTTGAGTCCCCATTGACTTCAATGGGGCTCGGGTTCAGTGTCTAGTTCGGGGTCAAGTTCGAGCCCAAACTCAGACTTTTTTTCAAAGTTTGTCCGAACCCGCCGGACCCGAATATCCAGGTGTCCGCTCAACTCTATTTACTGTGTCTCCACAGAATTATATAGGCAGCAAAGAAATATATGTGAATGAAGAAAATTATAATTCAAAATGGTCTTTCTAGATTAATATGCACAATTTGAATTGAACACATTTCCATTAAATACATAAAAAAATTCTATGGCTGCATTAGAGGAATTGTCCAATTCAAGGATAAAAGGTTTGTCCATCTGCCTAAACTTCCTTTCCCTTTTGGAAGGCATACAGTATATTTAGCCATGATGATTATGGTCACAAAGTAAACATATTGATTCCGTTGTGGTTCAAGTGGCATGTTTTTTTTCACTGAGCCAACAGAATACATTTGTATTTGTAAATTATGCTTGTAATTCCATTTGTGGGTGAACTGCTCTGATGTAATATATTTAGGAATGATTGAAGCAGAATGTTCTGCTTGCAGTAGTGTTTGGAACAATAATGTTAGACTGTGCAGGACAAAAAAATATAGTGTACTAACATTTTCAAATACAAATACAGTCCTACATAATTATATTCATTGTAATACTTTGGTGAATTCAAAACGTGAAATTCAGTATGATGTGTTATATTCTTTTATTTATATTTTGGAAACAAAAAACCATCAGTAGAGTAGAAAATTGTTGGTATCACTTTGCAACTAGTTATTAGAGCTACTCATGCCTTCACCGGCATCAGTATTATCAGTAATAGTACGCATGAGTCCAAAAAGTTCTGCTTTGTTTGCTGTTGCTAGGAATGCAATGTTATGCTTGCCATTTTACTGGCTGACTAGCTAGTGCCAAGTGGCAAAGCAATTCGGTGACAGGTGAGGCCCTGCTAGTTGCCAAGTGGCATGAGAGGCTCTATTTGTTGATGCGAGGGGATTTCATGGCCACCAAATGTTGTGGCGGGGTGTTGGCTTCTCATGATATTTAAAGTATAAGACATTTCAGGCGTGACATTTGAGGCCCTCTCTATGCAACTATGTGAGGCGGCTAACTATGCATTGGCCCGAGGGATGTATAACCTCTGCGCGGAAGATGGGTGTTGGCTTTACCGGACCACTAACACTAAGGCAGGGAAGCCAAAATTTTTAACCACTATTGGCCATCTAGATCCCTATACGCCAGGAAACATAACTGGGGGTATGCATTGCAAGAGAGCCATCGTGGCTAATAATGTACCTGGAGTCGTATACAGTTCTCGTGTAATTCTATATAGTATGTGGTGTACGAAAAAGCATTTTTATTTTAATCTTATGATAATACTTACCCATAACTGAAAATGACTTGTAGTTCCCACTAAAGGAGGACTGAGAGGGGTAGGAGAGGCCTATTATCTAATAATGACAACGATGTGTATATGTATTATTAAGCATGTTAAGCTAAAAACTCCTAAAACGTATTTCCCCATACCTACCAAAATACACCTACCTACAGACAGGATCCGAGGTATGATGAGCAAATGCTGCTCTGAAAATTGATTACTTCATAATATGTGATAGAATTGTTTATTCAATAAGATTTTGTTAGATATAAGAAATCTGTAAGTCGGCCTACAGTCAGAGCAAGAATAAGAAAATGAGTGGAATAGTTAGTTCTTTTACCTCATGGATCCAGTGCCACACTTATTGATTTGACAAAACGTGTTAAGACAGATACATGCAGTATTACCAATTTTTGGAATATATATTGGTACGCTGGTTGCACCAAGGCAAGAGCATTGGAAATTTTTTTAAAGTGGTCAGTGACTTGAGGTATGCAGACAGGCCTAAGTATAATACAGTAACAAGAGGACCTGAAATTCAAAAACATATGACATATGAATAAAGAATAGTGAAGGTTATAATTTGACAATAAGAATAGCATGAATAACCACTTTTAACCTGCTTGAATGCATGTAGTAGCAATTACATACAAGGAGACATTTATATAGTGATCAGTCACTACAGGGCCATAAGCCAAAGATTTATTTGAAAATTATTTGTGCGAATTCGAATGTGCTTTAGACTGCAATCAAACCTAAGTGGCATTCGTCTGAAAAAAAGGCTTGACCGCTCTATACTGTTCGTACTATATTAGAGCTTGTGACCTTTGCGGGGCAAATTATGTATTTTTTTTCAAATGAATGAATGCATTGCTGAAACCTGAAAAATCATGCAAATGTAAAGTAAAAGAAACAAATGCTCTATATGGTCTTAGAGCCTTAGTGCCTCGCATAGTAACCTAATATGTATCCGTTTGTTTGAATCATGCAAATGCTAGTGTAAGAAGCCATTTGTATGGAAAGAGCCAAACGGGATGGTATCTGTGCGGGTGTATAACCCAAACGCTTCCCACGAATGGAACCTAAGGCAAACGTTCGTGCCAGATAAACAAGTTTAAACCCCATGAATTTTAACGAACATAAAACCAAGTAAACAAATTGAATGAAAAATTAATAGAGTCAAACCGTGATGATGCCGTGGGAAGGCGCTGGCTTGACGACCTGTCCTCAGGTTCGAAGGTCAGCAGGTGCTTCTGGGTCAGTTTACCGCACAGAAGACCAAAGAGCAGTGCAATCAGCAGAAACAGAGTCTATAGTGAGGAGATACAGGGCCCCTGGATGAACAGTAGGCAGGAGACAACAGCAGGAGAGGTTCCACGTGGACAGGTAATTTTGTAAGATTGTGGTATGCATGCACCAGAAGTTACTGCATGCAAATCACCAGACCATTTACGGTAGGGTTGGAAAGTGGGGAGTCCCTTTTATAGTTAATAAAAGCCCCTCCCACCTCTCCAGGCAAAGCCTTAACACATACACATACACATATACACACACATATATATATATGTATATATATATATGTATATATATATATAAACACTATGTATACACACATACACAAACAATAGTAGGAATTCAACATTTTATTAAAAGCCAGATTGCTACAGAATAGTATCAGTTTGTTAGTTTAGGTACTGACAGTTAAATGTATATATATCATGCTCTCTGGTTTCTCTGGAGTTCTTACTCCATTAAAGGTTTTTGACCTTACTTAGCTATAGGGCTCATGCTTGCCAAGGCTAGATGGGGATTGGTATTGCTCTTCTCCTCTCACGCTCATCTTCTTGAATTACTTATAATTTACATATATTTTAAACAATGTCTTAATTGTAAATGAATGTCAATATTATTTTAGTCATCTTGTTATTGTCTCTATTCAATAATATAATGATAATGTCTTCTTCTCAGCCTCTATCTCACAATATTATGTAATTTATTTTTCTGACACCCTTTCACATTAGATTTTTTTTTACTGTTAATTCAGTTGTTATTCTAGATTACATATATGAACCAGCACAAATCTATATCTTGACTCCATTATGACTCAATTCTATATGCAGTGAACGAGCTATGAAGCAACATGTTACTTTATCTGTTTTGATCTATCTGGATACACACTTTAAGGAAAGTTAAATTGTTAAGGTGACCAGTGAACTCAAAAATTGTGCTAACAACTTGGCTATCTTCTTAATTGATCTTCCACTTGTTCTTTTGAACTTACCATGTCAATCCTAATT